AAGAAGGTCAGTGGGGCTGAAGCGCAGCAAGGGATGGGGGAGATAGGGCCACCCATTTAGAGTACTGACCCTCTGGTATTCTCAGGCACTTCATATATTTAATCTCATCTTTCTATAAATCCATGTATTCATCCATGTGCCACAAATATTTATTACACCAGATGACAGGTGGCACTAAGTCTTGAAGGAAGCGTTAACCAAGCAGATGTGGGTAAGACTTGAAATCTAGGCACTTAAAAGCTCACCACTTAGGTGGGCCGGTTGGGAAGGGCCTTGAATGCCGAGCCTCCATCCCAGTGGACACTCCACTGTGTTGAGAAAGCAGAACAGCTACAAGCAGAACACCAGGAAATGTTGATACGTGAAAAAAAGAAAAATTAATGAAATTCATGGTTCTGGGACAAATCAGATATAGTCTCATAGTATAATCTAATATGGCCAAGTGGTAGCAGGGACCAAAGGCTTAAGAAAAGTGAGGCGGGGGGCGCCTGGGTGGCTCAGTTGGTTAGGCGACTGCCTTCGGCTCAGGTCATGATCCTGGAGTCCCTGGATCGAGTCCCGCATCAGGCTCCCTGCTCGGCGGGGAGTCTGCTTCTCCCTCTGACCCTCCTCCCTCTCATGCTCTCTCTCATTCTCTCTCTCTCAAATAAATAAATAAAATCTTTAAAAAAAAAAAAAAGAAAGAAAAGTGAGGGGAGAAACACTTAAAATGGAGACTATTCCATCAATTAACTTAATTTTTTTTCTGCCAACCATGAAAAGACCATCATTAGTTACTATTAGTGAGGGCCCGGCTTAGAGAGCACCTGTTTTCTGCTGAGTGTCACTGGTTGGGCCAGAGGGAGCTGTTCCAGGGCCTCAGTCAGGCGGTGACATGATGAAGTTTGCGCTTTGGAAAGGTCACTCCAGCAGCAGCATGGAGGGTGGATAGAGGGGAAGAGAGGATAAGAACCAGTGTGCGGGCGGAGCCGGTGGAGATTGCAAATTCCTTGAAGGCAAGGGTTTTGCTCTGTTTCATCCCTTTCAGCAGCGCCCAGCAAGAGGTGGATACAGCCACTGCTAGGCTGGTAGAAATGCCCATTGAACTGAAGTGTCTGCTATTACAACCTGGTATAGTGGAGTCTGCTCCCTCTGCCCGGAGTCGTTCCAGCGTCATTCTGCTTGGGAGAGGCGTCGTGGATGAGACAGAGCTAGGGAGCTCTCTGAGGCTGGAGATACTCAAGGTCTCCAGGAGCTATTTGGGGAGACAGAACATAAAGCTCCTGTTTCCTAAATCTGGCCAGAATCTGCCTGTTGTGTCAGATCTGTACAAATGAGATATTTATCAGGTTTTTGCTGCTCGTCTTGATAAAAGAATGACCATCTGTCTTTCAAGAGGCACTAAAAAGGTCAAAGTTAAAAGGTGTCCATTTGAGACTGTTTAAACCCCTCTTCCACGTGAGAGTACCATCGTAGACACATCTGGATTCCCAGACCACAGAACAGGAATCCTGAAAATGTGCTTGGAGAGTACCCAGTCCCCGCCATGATGCCCTCCTCTTCGGAGCCGCTCCCTTCCAGGGAGAGCAGAGCCTTTGTGTGTCAGCAAGACCCTGCTGTTAACAAACCACGTGCCCATTTGTGGAGCACTTACTATATGCTGGGCGCGAATAAGGGCTTCGCCGGCCCTGTCTCATCTCAACTTCTTCAGCAGAGGGTGTGAGTCTAGCAACGCTGACCCATATTGTCTAACCACTAACTTGTCAGCACTCGAAAACCTTCTCTTGTCCCTGCCATCGTCTGGCTTCAGCCGGGAAATTCCATGTTTATGGTTCTCTTCCGCACTGATTAAGATGACAGGAAGACAATGAAACACTTGTCTCCAAAAGTGACTTCTTGGATCCACTGGCAAAATGTTAGAAAGTGGGTATGAACGAGGCCCAAGAAACAGGACACCCAGGCTCTTTGAGCTTGGGGAGTATTACAGAATCCTATCCCAGGCCAAGAATGAGTCACAATGAAAGCTTTTAAAATATAAAACCATCAACCTAGATTTCAATTCCAAGGAAACACATACTTGGCCATGAGGGAATGCTTAAAAAAAAAAAAAAAATCAGGCTTAAGGCACTTGACAGGAAAATGAAACAGCCAAGGAGCATTCAAATATAATGATTTACATCCCCCCCCCACCCACCCACCCCCGCCCAGTAGGGGCCAGGGCGTACACAGACACCATCTCTGCCAGTGTGCCTGTCCAATCCCGGGCTCTCTGCTTTTCACTTAACGCTATTGCAAACACACAATGCCATGCCTGGGTGCGGCTGGCTTGGAGCTGCACGGCACTGCCTTGGAGAGGCTGTGCCAGTCCCATGGATTCTTCATGATTTCCCTGCTCTTGGGCCCTTGCGTAGCTTAGGGTGGCTGTTTGGGGAATACGAGGATTTTTGTTCCATTATTTATGTGTGCAAGCACTGTTCATTTCTCGCAAAGAAATGGAAGCCTGATTGATTTCCTAAATGTAAGAACGAGATTGTCCCCCCCGCAATAAATATTTAAGACTGGCCAGGAAGGGCCACCACCATCTGCTGAAAAACAAGCCCAGGAATTACTTTGTTAAAAGCTTTCCTAGCGAAGGGAATGAGTGAATAAGCATCCTATATACTATTCGCTCAGCATCTGACGGTTTACAAAGGTTTTCACCTATCCCACTTGATCTTCAGGATAGCCCCCAGAGAGGTAGACAGGGCACGGATTACAAGGATTATCAAAACCCTACGTTATTTATTTATTTGTTTGTTTGTTTGTTTATTTATTTACTTATTTATTTTTCTTAACAGATGAGGGCTCTAAAGGCTTAAAGTCACTGGAGGGAGGTCACAGAGTTTGGGGACTAAGCCGCGGGTCTCTCATTCATTCATAGGCATATTTAAAAAAACATGTATCCGGAGCCTCTTCCAAGCCAGGTGAGAAAGAAGGCAGTGGGTACAAAGATGAATAAAACACGGTCCCTGCTAGGAGGACGATCGCGTTCTAGCCCGGGGAGAGACCCAGTTGAAGTAAACAAGTCCCTGCTTCGCGAGGTGACTGACGAGTGCTCAAGAGAAAGGAACGGAGTGCGGACCACGTTTCTAATCCGATGTTCCTACCGACAGACCAGACCGGCTCGGTTCTTGTTCACGATACGCGTCCTCCGAGGGGAGCTTGGGGGTTTGGCCGTGTGCCTGGCCTGGGGTCACATCACCGGGGGAACGTGGGGACAGCACTGTCCCGCGTTCGGCAAACGTGCGAGTATTTCCCGCAGTGAGGCGCGAAGCCCGGGGGTGCGCACCCCGGCTCCCCGAATTTCCCCGCACGAGACGAGTCGGGGCCGGTGCCTCCGGAGCGGCCGTCTTCCTCCGGCCGAGGCCGCGGGGTCGGGCAGGGCGGGCTGCGAGGCTGGGTGTCGCGGCGCGGGAGCCCCTCGCCCGCGCCCCCCGCCGCCCGGCTCTGCAGGCCGCAGCCCCTTCCTCGCCGCGAGCGCGCCAGCCCGGCGCTCCCGATCCCTTTGCTCGTTTGCATTTTTATACTCCCCAGCGGTGTTTTTAACGTTCGCTTTGCGCCCCATGAGCGCCGCACAGGCACATTCTCCTGTAGAAAAGGATGGAAACGTGTGGGCTGCCCCGGCCCGGGACCCCGCGGGCTCCCCGGCGCGCGGACGGGCGGTCTGGGCCGCGCTGGCTCGGCGCCGCCGCCCGGGGAGCCGGCCCCGGCCGCCGGTTCTCGCTGCCCGCGCCGCGCTCGGCACGCGGGAACGCTCGGAGGACACACGCGTGTGCAAAGTTTGGTCACGGCAGGAGCACATGCAGGCGTGAGGGCCCGCTCCGGGTCTCGGGGCGGCCTCCCGCCGCGGGGACCCCACGGCTGAGCCCCGCCGGCACTCCCGCGGGGGTCCCGGCTCGCTCGGCCCTGCCCGAGACGCCCCCCGACCCCGGGGCCCCGAGGAGGCGCGGCCACGCGGCTCCGCGACCCCGGCCCGCTTGGGCCCAGACGGCGCCCGGCTCCGGCCTCGGCCTCGGCCTCGGGGCGCCTGTGGGGCGGCCCCGGGTCAGACGCTCGGCGGGGCTCGGGCCTCGGCCGCCCGGCTGGCCCCTGCTCGCCGCGCTCCGGCTCGGGAGGCTCGAGCCCCGCGCGGCCCGGCGGAGCCCCTGCCGGCAGCCTCCCGCCCCGGGGCCTCGGGCGGCGCGTCGGGGTCGCGGCCCGCAGCGCGGCCCGGCTTGAGCGCGGGAAAGCGGGGCGCGGGGGCCTCGTCGGGGGGTGTGCGTGGGGCGCGGGGCCGGGCCCACTCGGCAGGAAAAAGTCGTTCGGGCGCAGAGGGGGGGGCTGTGCAAGTTTCGGGGAACTTTTCCACCTGGAATTCTACAACCCTGCAGTGCCCCCTACAGAAAGCGGCGGCCGGGGAGGGCAGGCGCCCCCCACGACCCCGGGCTGCCAGTGGCGGCGCGGCCCAGGCGGCCTGGAGCTCTGGCCGTTGCCTTTTTTTTTTTTTTCCCTCGTTGTTTTTCGGATACATCTTTTTTCAGAATTGGAAAAAAAAAAAAAAAAAAAAAGCGAGCGCGAGCCGCCGCCTGCAGTGAAGCGTGCTCGGCCTCCAGAGGCAGTCGTCTCCAGCCTTTCCTCTCCCGCCCCAGCTCCGCGCGCGCCTCGAACTTCGCCTCCGCCGGGGCCCAAATTTGCCTGCCGCTCAACTCCACTCTAATGTGCGCGCCGAGGCCCCTGGCGGCGGTTCGCAGCCGGCGGGCCACGCTTCTGAGGCTCAGGCCTGCCGGCTCGTGCGCTTCCCCGAGGCCGGGCCCAGTTTGGGAAGGGGGAAGCGGGCGCCCCGGGAGCACCCCGGGAGGGGGCGGAGCGCTCCCGCGCCCTGGGGCAGGGGGGCAGGGAGCTCCCGCGCCCGGAACGTTGCGAGCAAGCCTTGCGAACGTCGCAGGGGGGCCCTCGCGAGGGACGGACAGGAAGAGGGCCAGGGGGGACGCCAGAACCCGGGACCACAGCACGGAAACGGCCCGGGGCTGAGCTGCAGTCAGATCCGGGGATGGAGGGAGCCGGAGAAGAGGCGTGAGGAGGCCGGGGAGGCAGGCCGTGCTGCCCTCCTGGAGGCCGGCAGGCCGCTGTAGCAGTGGAGGAGCAGGCCGCCCAGGAAGGGGAGGGGTCAGGAGGTCGGGCCCGGGCCTTCAGCGGGCCCCCCCAAGGCCCAGGAAGGGAGGGCCAGGCGCCCCTGGAGCTGAGGGCCCAGGCCTGTCCCGGGTTGCCCAAAGGAGGCCCGGGCCAGGCCTCGGTGGGGAAACGGAGCCAGAGGCAGGCCTCCGGGCACGGCCTGGACGCGTGTGAGCCAAGTTAGGGGTAGGGGGCACAGGCCCTTGGGGGTCTCAGACACCAAAGGCGGTAGGGGGCTTCAGGGCCTCCCAGTCCAGAGCCGGATTGGCGAGCTAGACGCTTGTAGATCCAGAGCTGGATTGGGGTGGGGTCTCTGGGACGCTGGCTCGCTAGGCAAGGATTGGGGGGATTTAAGTGCTTGGAGATCGAAGGCAGGCCTTGAGTGGGGGGAGGCAGACAATTGGGAAGCCTGGGTGGCCATTTGGGGAGGGGTCTCCGCGCCCTGGCGAGGCGCAGGGCTGCGCCGGTTGGGCGCGAGGCCTGTCCAGAGAGGTTTCTGTGCGGGGTGCGCCGCCTGGGCCCGGCCAGCAGCAAGGAAGGGAATAAACCGGGACTACGAGCGGGCGGGGGCCCGAGAGGGGGGTCACAAAGGGTGAGACATGGCCACCAGGCGTTTAACCGACGCTTTCTTGTTGTTGCGGAACAATTCCATCCAAAACCGGCAGCTGTTAGCCGAGCAAGTGAGTAGTCACACCACCTCCAGCCCTCCGCATTCACGTAGCGCCGCTGCGGTGAGTCTCCCGGCGGCCTCCCCGACACACGCGCCGTGTGCACCGCGGCTCTGCCTGTCTGTCCGTCTCTGTCTGTCTCTCTGTTTAAAAGAAGACGCAAGAGCAGTGAGACCCAGAGTGGTCGGAAGTGCAGGGCCGCGGAGAAGACCGTGTCCGGCCCCGCTGCACCTCCGCCTTGCCCTCTCCTGCTCACTTCCGCAGCCCTCCCCGCAGCCCACCCCCGCCGCGGTCGTCACGGCGCCACCGGCCGCCTCCAGTTCACATACGTTTCAGCACGGGGATCTGGGGGGACTGGGGCCTTTGCGAAGCCTTTTTGTTTCGTTTCCTTTCGTTTCGGCCCCCCTCCCCCCACCGCCATACGGGGCCTCACTTTGGTCCTAAGGGCCGGGTTGCAGGCCCGCAGAACCCAAGTCCTTGCAAGTGAACGACACCCTCCCCCAAATGAGGAAGCCGTGGGGTTTTGTGTGTGTGTGTGTGTTGTGTTTTGGTTTTGGTTTTGTTGTTTTTTGTTTGTTTTTTTTCCCCACCCGTTTTCTTTTAATGGCCTCACCGCCCTCGGTGTGGCCGCCTTCCCTGTGAATAATTGCCCCACTGTTTTTCCTGGGGGCTCGCGTTTGTGAGACTGTAAGGTGCTAGGTCCTTCGTTTTCCGTTTCCCACACGGGAAATTAAGCTTTTCCCTCCATTCGAACTTTTCAAAACAAAAACAGGGTGTGTGTGAAAATTAACCTTCAAAACAGCACAGGTTTTTTTTAATTTAATTAACGTGAACCTTTCTTTAGCCCAGTGGTAGAATCTGTTCTAGGGAGTGCCTGGGAAGATGACTGAGGAGGTTTTGTTTGCTTTTGATGAGGTCTGCTTTCCCTTTCTGAGCTTCAGTTTCTTGCTCTGATAGATAAGGGGACACGGGTACGGATGGTCTATGCAAGGCGATTAGCTTTGGAATACCTTAAATTGAAAAGTGAAGTTATGAAACTAGTTGGCATGGGGGGGGGGGGCTCCTTGCTGTAGACAGGCAGGAGACAGGCTTGATGGAGGAGGGAAATAAAGCCACCCCAAAACCGGACTCTCAGGGATTATACTTGAAATAATACAGCTTTGGGGATCTCACACTTATTTCACCCCTTAGGGACCATACTGCTTTTTAATTTTTTTCCTTTATGACTTTACTGAATGCCTCAGAAAAATCATGTCATGTGTCTTGGTTATTGAAAGAGCATCCACAGAGACGGTTTTTCCTTTTTGTAAATCACAAGTAGCAAATGTCTTTGGCCGTATTGCTCCTATAGAAAAGCTATTTTAAGCCGTGTGAATAGTTTGAGAAATAAAATCGTGTAAAGTCAGGTCTAAAAGCATAGAAAACAGGGATGGAATGTGTTTAGATTTTTATTTACTTAAGAACTTGAAGGTTTTTTCTGCATTTGTTAACTAAAGAAATGGCATTATGCTGAAATAAGTGTAAATGGACACAGGCTAATTCCAGTGCTGATTTTGGAAAGAAGGTGCTGAAATAAGCCAAGAATTAGAGAGTAGAAACCGAATGAATAAAACTCCTCAATGGAACTTTAGTTTTTTCAAATAAGATGTAAAAATTTCATATTCCTTACATGGCTTGATTTTATGCTCCTGATGGGGGAAAAAAACCCACAGAACTAAAACTCGCGTTAATTTTTCTAAGTTACCGGTTTTAATTTATTGAAGAACGTTGTTTGCTTTTAAATTTTTAATCGTATAAGGTTCAAAACACCCTGAACCGTTGGGTAACATGAAACTTTTATTATTATTATTATTATTAATCATTAAGTCAGACAGTTTGAAAACCTGCTGTCTAAGCCGGGCAGCTTTTTAAAAGTGCATCTTTAAGTCAAACAGATTTTTTAAATGGTTTTCTAAGTTAGGCAATTAAAAAATATATGTATAAGCTAAGGCAGATAATTAAATATGGATAGCTGGAGTATACAATTTGGAAAAATAGATATGTCAACAAAAGGTACAGATATGTATAGCAAACTCAGACAATTTCTTGAAAATAGATTTCTGGATCAGACTAAATGTACACATCTAAGTCAGAACATTAAAAATATTTTCTATATATTTTACCATTTAAAATATTACATGCTTAGTCTATTTGAAATCTTTCTCATATTGTAGGCAGTCAGATCATGTAAAATACCCTTGTAGTCAATTCAGAGGATCTAAAAAATAGAATTTGCAATTAAACAAAAATGGTTAGCTTAAGTTAGAATTTAAAAAGAAAACACAGATTCATATTTTTAATTGTGCACATTAAAAAAACACAGGGCATGTCAGATTTTTCTGAAGCGTTTAGGGGCAAAGTATTACTTCTTCAGTTTGCTTACAATTGATTCAACAGAAACTATTCTGCACACACACAAAATCAAACATGGCAAAATGTTAACATGACTAAGTAGAGGGTATAATTCTTTCGACTTTTGGGGAAGTTGGAAAAGTGCTATAAACATTTTGGGGGGAAAGCCATGTCTAACACAATTTTTTAAAACTTTATCAAATAACTTAGGCAGTGTTTTTCACTGCATGTTTAGCTCATAGAAATGTTAACACCTCATTTATGAACTGCAAATTTCAAAACCATGTAGCAAATCAAAGAAAATCATAGCTGTTAAATTTGAACATGGATTGGGTTTTAGGTGATGTTAAGAAATTATTAATTAATTATAATTAATTTTGTTAATTTTATTAGAGATACCTACTGAGATGTTTAGTAGTAAAGTGTTAAAATGCCACTTTTTTTATATCCTTAACCCCCCATAAATGAAATAAATAAGGCAAAATATTACTGATTGTTAAGCCTATTGAGGAATATGTGGGGTGACATTATACCATTTTACATACTTTTCTGTATGTTTGAAAAATTATAAATAAAAACTTAAAAGATATACAGGTCATTAAAAACGTGAGTAAAATAAAAGGACACAGTTTATAAATATGTAAAACTTAGGTAATTAAAAAGGAAGCAACTAAATGTTAGAGTTTAACTTAATTTAAAAAATCATAACCTGAAATTTCTAGTTCCTAGTTAGAAGAAAAAGCTGCAGATGTTGATTTCAGTGTGTGTTTGTTACCTCACACACAACCCAAAATAAATCGATAAATCACATTGAACTGATAGGTTGGAGGGGGGTTGGGGTTTTTTTTTTTCAAGTTTTAAATCTGAACATTCACATCCTTATTTAAGTAAAAAGCTGTGGAAATTGTCAAGTTGTATGCATGTGTGTATCTCACACACCTCAAAACAAAGTACACCTAAAGCAGTATCATTCAAGAAACTTAAACATGCATTTTTTTTTTTTTTTTTTTTTTTTTTGCATCCTAGTTTGAGGGGGGAAAAAAACCCAAGTTGGGTGGTGTTGACGGTGGGCTTGTGTGTACCAACATACATGCATACCAAAAGAGGTTTGTGCAGCGTTCAGACAAATATGTCACAGCTAAGCAGGAATTTAAGGAGGATGTACAGCGATAAAACAAAGTCCCCAGGGCCAGCAGAGACCTAAAGGTCCTTGACCCGACATCCCCTCTATGATAACCCCAATGCCTCCACGTTCTGTGATGGCTGTAGGAAATTCCAGCAGCCGTTCATTCCACCTCTTGTGCTACCAAAAAAAGTCTTTGCCCGTATGAACCCCAACTCTACCTTGTATCCTGTGGTCCTAGCTCTGGTTCTGGCCCTCGGGGTCTCTGACACGGGAAGCCTCTTCCTTCTTCTGCGTGATAACCCTGCAGCCTTTGCGTTGCCGAGAGCTTTTTCTAGCTCAGCAGTCCCGGCTCACGCAGCCTGGTTAAGTTTCTTGCCTATGAATGAAACCGAGTGTTTCTGCATGCTTTTTCAAGTTTAGCACCCAGAGCCAAACAAAATTCTACTTAATTGTGTTTTTGCTTGTATTGGTACTAGTAAAACTAATTGTTAGAAACAGACTGGGGTTTGATTTTTAGACATGGAGCACAATGCAGTGGTTGCCATTTCTCATTCACTGTGTTTGGGCCTCAGTGTCGCATCCCCATCACTGTTGTGCCTCAGGGCAGGTGTGAAATAAAGGAAAGAGCGCTGGACTCGAAGTCTGGGAATTTAGGGTTACGTCGCGCTCTGCGGCTGACCCAGAACGTGTCTGTAGGCAAGCTTTTTAAACCCTTCCGACATCTTTTGCCTTATTTATAAGTTGAGGGGTTTGAGTTAGGTGACTTCTAGGGGCTGTATGGATTCAACAGTGCTTTCTTGAGTTCTGTTTCAATACACGGTTTCTTCTGACCCAGGCACACAGCCCTAGCTTTCATTTGAAAAGGAGTAGTCAACAACATCACTGTGCCCCATTAGCCCAGTGTCACGCAGAAATCCTGGGAAGCAGCTTCAGTACTTTGCAGAAATAACTTTGACATTGTTTTGGCCAAGTGCAGGTTTTAAGGCACCGCTTCATTCAAGCAGTTACAGGCAGCTTGGCTTTAAGGAGCTGAAATGAATTTACAAAGTAAAATAATCATTCCAAAAAACGTGTGAAGTCTTAAATGAATGAATGGAAAGTAGTTGTTGAGTTGCTGTCCCGATCTGATTAGGTGCTGTAGGACGTGTGTGATTGCCTTTGATCGGGAATGGATCTAATAGAGGAATTGGAGCTACTCGTTAGGGTTTACCGCCTGATCTATCCTCTGCTTGAAAATAATGCATAATCTATAAATGGAAGCTGGAGTTAATTGGTCTTAGATTAGTTTGAAACTAGCACATTATTTTTAATAAAACATTGTGTGCTTTAGGGGGAAAAAAGATAACTCAGGATTAACTAAGGTTGTAAGAAGTCTAAAGTCCTTCTTCAGTCTTGACTGTAATATTTGCCAAGATTTACCGAGCGCTTCCTGTGTGCCTGGCACTGGGCTGTGGGCATGTGGGCGCTTTCCATGTGCAGCCTCATTTCATCCTCA